AGGTGTCTTTCTGTTTTCTTCGAATTTAAGGGCAACTATAAATTAACCTTAAATAGAGATAAATGTATCTCACGTACATCCTGCCAGATTTCTGAAATTGTAAATGATTATTGATTAAGGATATTCGCACTTCCACCCCACACCTCCTACTACGCCCCCAACCCCAACAAATCTTACATGACCTGGCAGTTTGCAGCAAAAATGAAACTTTAATCAAGTTATTAACTGGAAGAAACTAAGTGCAATTACGTTGAATAGATATAAAATTTCTTTTCATGTTCCACTTTGTTCTGCATTAGATAAACACTTTTTTCCGGAAATTATGCTACTCAGGTTTGTTTCAGACTATGAATATATTGAAAAGGAATGGGGAAACTGTAATTGTTCCCATATCTACAGAGCAACAACTATCTGGGAAATGTTTTTCAGGCTGCTCCTTTGGAACGGCATTGAACTTTGTATTATTAATATATTATTGTGCTTGGTTTATTTTTCACACAGGCAGGCATACATGTTGAATAGATGAAAAGCATGTTTTAAATGATCTAGAATTTAAACCCTTTTCTAAGAAAGTGTTAGCGTCCATCCAGGGTGGGTAGAACATATTGCTCCTTACCTGCTTAGATTGGCAGTACATCTTTTTGGACAATTGAAATATATGGAGAACTTGGCTCAACTACTAAAGTATCAGTTATTGATTGTATATAGGTATGTGTGCATTTAGTTATTTAAATATTTTTGTTGCCAATCGTCTTGTAAAATAGAACTCTGGGTGGCTCCCAACAATAATAAAATTGCTCCCAACAATAATAAAAGAATAATAAAAGAATAGAATAAAAGAATAAAAGACAAAATAACAAAACAAAAACAACCCTGGTGCTTAATCCATTATCTTCATCAACTCATCTATGTCCTCCCCAAATTCCAACCTTACTATCTCAATGTTTGGGGAATATACCACCTATAGCAACTTGTACTAAGTTAGCTGTTTTCAGATGCATTGAACTACCGTGTTTTCCCGAAAATAAGATCCTGTCTTATATTTTTTTGAACCCCAAAATAAGATCTTGGCCTTATTTTCAGGGAGGTCTTATTATTTTGGGGTGTGTGGAGCAAGATGGGGCTCTTCTTGCTGTCTTACCTGATTTCCAGCTCTGTGTTTAAATATTTTCAGGGAGGGCTTATTTTCAGGGAGGGCTTATTTTCAGGGGGAGGCTTATTTTAGTGCATGCGCTCAAAAGCCCGATTGGGCTTATTATCAGGGGATGTCTTATTTTTGGGGAAACAGGGTATTACCCTTGCCATGATCGATGTTATAACTACTGCAGTTATTCAGTTATTCAGGCCAGGTATGTTTGCAAACCAATATTATTCCAGAAACTCAATTCCATATTTAGGAACTAAATAGCAGCAGAAGCTTCTCAGGTTCAACACCACTAGAGTCATTGTTTTCTTGAAGCCAGGAATCTAGACGGAAGACCTGCTGAGTGCAGAACATGGGAGCTAAGTCTGAGATGTGTTCCTAGGTTTTTTTTTCTTCTTCCATCCATTTAAGTCAATGGAATTTTGGTTTTTTGATGCTTAGGTGGTGGAGCCACCTATTAAAAGATGGCAACAGGGGGCATTTCTTGCGAGTTAAATTCCAAAAGGAAAAAAAAAGAAGAAATGGACTTTGAAAGTACAGGTGGTAGGGCAGGTTCAAGGGACGTTCAGAACCCAATCTTGGCGCTACCTCTTCCTTCAAAGGAAGCCAGATTAAGAACATCTGGATATGCTTGAATTGAAGGAATGTAGTGAATTTGTGAAACTAAGTGAATTCATATTGTGTTATTAAATAAATCAGTTTGTTCCTTGGTTTCTATGCTAACCAAAGATCTCTACCTTCTCCACATTCTACCCAGTTATGTAGCCTTGCAGACGTAAGGAATTTCTACACTAATAAAGGGGATTAGCGATGGTGGCAGCAGAAGAAAGAATAATAATAATTTTTTAAAAAACCAACAGGCCATTTTACTTTCAACTTCAAAAGTTGGGGATATCTAATCAAACAATTTACCCTGAGTGAAAAAAAAATACTTTCTAAATTGCTATCTTCAGCCATTGCTTTGAGAAGGCTGTGTTAGAATGACAAGTTTGAGAAGGGTGTTTATGATAAATCATGGGTGGACTATTGTTGGTGTGTGAAATAAGACCCAGAACTTGTATTGCCACATGTTGGCACCATTCTCCTTGGCAAGGCACTTAGTACTACAAAGTGGTGTGATATATCTTGCTTAGCAAATCAACACAAAATGCTTTAGGAGGAGCCACTAGGAAACAATGAGGTGAGGCAATTGTTCAAATAAAGGGTTTTTTTCCCCATCTCTCAACTCCACCCTAGATACTGTGACTGGAGTGATAGTCTTTAAAATTTAAATGAGTAATTCATCTGTAACGATAAAATGTTCAACATAAACATCAAGAATGACCTATGTTATACACTGAAAAGAACAGATATAAATTCCAGTAAAGAATACACGAACTATCTTTCCAACATACGGTGTTCAAAACAGCCTGGTGCTTAGTGTCACTCTGATTTGGGAGCAAATATTCCCACTTTCTTTCTACTTAATGTCCTATCTGAAATTTCGACAAGGGTGCTGGCACACTGGAGAAAGAGGAAGAAATTGGGACCAGTCAGAATAATGTGAAGACACAGATTAGTAATGGATGAGTTCAGATGTGACTGTTTCACTTGCTGTTCCCAAACTTTCAAAAATCTGTTCTGCTTTACCTACATTGGATAAAAATACCAAGATCTATGACTGAATCTGGTTTTCTCTTATGGCTGCTTAGAATCCACAATTGATCTTGCCTTTGATATATATATATATATATTGTGTGTGTGTGTATGTCTGGTTTATTTCTATCAGCCTAACTGTGAAGGTTTTAGTTGGATTACATTTATTGCTTATTGCAATCAAATAGCTGTATCCTCCTTATCTTGAGTAATCCAGATTTTATCCAAGCAATTGAATGAATTGATTGCATCTGTCTTACCTTAAATCTTCTGAATAGATTTATTCTTTTTTATAGAAGCAGTGAAGGCCATTTCCAAAAGAGAGGGAACCCTGTGTTATCTCCCTCATGGACAAAATCATTTTACTTAGTTCAATATATAAAATCATTCCCAGTTTTATCTAAAGAATGACACAAGGTATTTTTAAGAACATTCAAAACAAGGTGTTTTTCAATAGAATTATTTATTATGTGACATTACAGTAATGTGCATTGTAACTGTAATGAAATGTTATTGTTTATAATTAAGATCAACCACCAACAGTGAAGGAACAAGCAGTCAAGAAATACATTGCAGACTAGCACCTAATACAACAGCCATGAAGGCCTTGGAAAAGATATTCAAATGCCGTGACATATTTATGCTTACAAAGATCAGAGCTGTGCAAACCATCTCTGTAACACTGTATGGAACCAAAAGTTAGACTATAGTACTGACACTTTGAACTTGGCATTGGAAAAGACCAGTGGTGAAATCCAAATTTTTTTTACTACCGGTTCTGTGGCGTGGTGTGGCTTGGTGGGTGTGGCAGGGGAAGAATACTGCAAAATCTCCATTCCCACCCCACCCTGGGGCCAGCCAGAGGTGGTATTTGCCAGTTTTAAAATAAATTTCAAAAACAAACAGACAAACAAACAAATAAATAAGTATTTTTTCCCCCTGGCTATCTAACTTAATCTGAATTTGGTTGTCCAGGACACTGTGTCTAGGACACTGTCATGAAAATCTACCTAGCATACTTTATGCTGCATAATTCCCTTGAAATCTGTCAGGATTTTCTCAAAAATGGAACTGGGGTTCATAACCATCAACCATTTTCAATTGCCGGACAAAGCCAGACTAATAGGGTTTTAAACAAGGTTTAAAAACAGTTTCTACCTATGGGCTGTCAGACTCCTAAACACAATCACAATCACTCCATGTACATATGGAAAAGTATGAATAGTTTTTTTCCCCTGCAATTACTTGTATAAGGATTATTCTATATACTATTCATGTTGTCTTGTGTTTTCTGTTATGGATTGCATCAGTAGAGGCTAAACCAATTTCGTTGTATACATGATGTACAATGACAATAAAGCAGTGGTGAAATCCAAATTTTTTTACTACTGGTTGTGTGGGCGTGGTGGGCGTGGTGTGGTTTGGTGGGTGTGGCAGGGGAAGGATACTGCAAAATCCCCATTCTCTCCCCACTCCTGGGGGAAGGATATTGCAAAATCTCCATTCTCACCCCACTCTGGGGCCAGCCAGAGGTGGTATTTGCCAGTTCTCCGAACTGCTCAAAAGTTCCACTACCGGTTCTCCAGAACCTGTCAGAACTTGCTGGATTTCACCCCTGGAGAAGACCCAACTTTCTGGAAAAGGCTGTAATGATGCCAAAGATGAAAAAAAGAGAAGATGATTGAAGTAACATGGATAAACTGTTAAGAATGTAGATGAACACACCACTGGAAGACATGAGAAACCAGATTAGGAATAGAGCATATTGGGAGAAAATCGATTTAGCAAATAGCAAAAAATAACTTGAAGGCACATCATCAATCAACCAAAAAAAGTTTAGTCTTGCGTGGATAAGCACTAAAGAACTAAATTACTACTGTTTAGTAATATGGAAGGACTGTCTGCACATTATGCTTTTTTTTTTTCTGTAAAAAAACCCAAAAAGCTGTTTCCAATGATTTGCTAATTTCTAAACAGGTTTTCCTTTTTGATTTGTTTTTCCCTTACTTTCAAATTGTTACTTTTATTCTTGCTTTAAACCAAAGCAAACAACAACAAGAACCTGCCAAGTGGCTGTAGTGGATTCCTCAGTGGGAAGGCGGAGTAAAAAGAAGCCGAGTAACTTAATATTTCCTTAAACCGTAGCCGATGTCAAGGCAATCCGACAAAAGGGACGGGGTGGGGTTACGCACGATCCTTCAGCTCTGCGAGCAGCGTTTTTGCTCTCTCTCCCCTCTTTAGCAGGTGGCCAGTTGATAATCTCAGCGCACTTTCGTTGACTCTCCAGTCGAGCGCGCAACCCCGGAGTATCCGCCAGTCCTCCTCTGCCTCCCAGGACCGGCGGGAGCCTCAGCAGTTAGCCAAAACCGAGCGGTACCACGATGCTGGCTTCACCCCGGCGCAAGTGGGGCTCTACCGCTGCGCGTTTCCTCCTGGCGGTATGGAAGGGGAAGGGGAGGGAGGGAATCGGGGACCAGATCCTGATGCTGGAGCCCCATGATTGACAGTTTGCCCGTCGCAGCCGGTTGTGTTCTGGGCAGCACCAGCCAGGGTGTCCCTTGTGGGACACGCGAGACTCTGGACCTCCTTTTCCAGGCAAAGTCTCATCTAGCTGCAGGTGGCTTCTCTTCTTTCACTCTATGCGTCGTTGACCTTGGCAACCTGGGATGAGAGTCTGTAGAGATTCTCAGTCATCCAGGTCATGGTTGTCCCAAAGGTGCTTCTTCAGGAGGCAACTGGTCTTTCTTTTTCTTTCTTTCTTTTTTTTAAAATTTGATTTATATGCCGCCCTTCTCCGAAGACTCAGGGCGGCTTACAATGCCTTAAGCACTTGTAAAAAGAAAATTTCTTTTCTTTTTGCTTTTGAAGACTTTTTAGCTATACAGTTTGGGATGAACAGCCTTTGAATGGTTGTGGGAGTAGGAATGGATTTCCAGAGAAAAAAAATTGCAGATTACAGGAATCAGGAGCATTACTCACGTAACCCTGAGGACACAAATAAATCTCCAAGTGCTTCAATGATCCTCTAAAACAATGGTTCTCAACCTTCCTAATGCCGCAACCCTTTAATACAGTTCCTCATGTTGGGGTGACCACCAACCATAAAATTATTTCTAAGACCATTGAAAATATGTGTTTTCCGATGGTCTTAGGCGGCCCCTGTGAAAGGGTCGTTTGACCCTCAAAGAGGTCGCCACCCACAGGTTGAGAACCACTGCTCTAAAAGGATGCAGATTACCAGCTGTCTGCAAGGAATCGAAATCCTTCCATTCCCCACTACCCTGTCAGAGCTGAAGAAGCTTCTTAGATGAGAAGTGAAAGGTCTTAAAAAGAAAAAACAAGAAAGTCCAGTTGCCTCTTGAAAAAGCGCCTTTGGGATTGGGATGCTGTTTCAAGCTACATTTTTTTTTTTCCTGGTTATCAAACTTAGTTTGCACTTTTTTTCACAGAGGCCAAAGCTGGCAAATTGGGGTGATGTGGTGATGCTCAAAATAGGGTTTGGAGTCTTCTTAATGCAGCAGAATCTTCTTGAAATATTAGGGCAATTCATGATGGTCAGTCTTGCAAGATCAACCAGATTAATAATTGTAAATTGATACTAGAGGTGGAAAAATGGATAAGAACGACTAGGTTCTTATGATATCAGCGTTCATAAATATTGAGCCCAATTTATACCACTAGAGCTTTTGAAGTGGAACCAGAGTAGGAGTCTACCAATCTTTGTGTAGCCTGCTGAGTGATGTAGATCTTTTTTTTTTTCATGTTTTATTGCATTTCCAGCAATTAGGTTTTAGGTTGGGGTACATTTTTGCAAGTCTTTTTGGGGCTAAATGCCACCGATAGAACATTTTATATTGGTTATATACGGCAGATTTTGTTAATGTATAGTTTTTCTCCCAATTTTTTCCCCAATCTTCTAACTCAATGTTTTTGCCCAATATTTTTAGCCCATGCTATCATTGATTCCTTTACAATTTCTTCTTCTAAATCAAAATTTAATAAATAATTATATATTTTAGATAGTAATTTCTCGTCTAGGCCTGTTAATAATTTATCTAATTGTGTAAATTTCGGTTCAAATCCAAATTCCTCTAAATCTTTTTTATATCTAGATTGCAATTGAAGATACAGCCACCAATCTATGATTATTCCCTGTTCCTTTAATTCTTGGTTAGATTTTAATCTTCCTCCATTGTCCAAAATTTCATTGTATTTTATCATTTTACCAATATCTAATGTGTTGGGGTAGATAAGAGCCCTGGTGGCGCAGCAGACTAAAGCACTGTTATTAACATCAGCTGCCTGCAATTACTGCAAGTTCAAATCTCACCAGACTCAAGGTTGACTCAGCCTTCCATCCTTTCTAAAGTAGGTAAAATGAGGACCCAGACTGTGGGGGCAATAAGCTGACTTTGTATAAATATACAAAAGTATGAAGGCTATTGTTTAACGCAGTGTAAGCCGCTCTGAGTCTCCGGAGAAGGGCGGCATATAAATAATAATAATAATAAAAAAAAGATCATTGCCTCCATAATGGATAACCAGCCTGGTATTTTGAGATAATGTTTCTTCCTAATTCCCTCCCAAGTCTGTATCAGTGAATCTTGCAGTGTATGTCTATAAAAATATGATTGTGAATGTTTCTTATTTCTGGTGTTCCATATGAAGGCATGCCACCCCATCTGAAGATCATGTCCTTCCAGTGCTAAAATTCTCCTATTCTTTAAATTAATCCATCCCCTAACCCAAACCAAACTCGCTGCTTTGTAATAAGTTTCCCATGCAGGGAGTCCAAAACCACCTCTGCTTCTTCTATCTTGAAGTGAGATTAATTTTATCCTCACCTTTTTTCCTGCCCATATGAACTTCATAATCATTTTGTTTAACTCTTTAAAGAAATTCTTATCTAATTTTATAGGAATCGTTTGAAATAAATAGAGTAATTTTGGCAAAATATTCATTTTAATTGTTGCGATTTTCCCTAATAGTGACAACTGTAATTTCCCCCATCTTTCTAAATTTTTCCCTATTTGTTGTATTAATTTTGTATAATTATCCTTTTTTAATGTTCTTACTCCCTCTTCTCCTCGATGAGCTTTCTCCTCTTTGCTTTTATCCTCTTGGTCTTTCTCTTCTGTCGTTGTTCATCTTGGCTGACCGATTCCAATTCCTCCCTACTACTATATTCTTCCTCTGAACCAGCGAGCTGGTCATATAGTTCTTGAGCTTTCTCCATACTATCAACTTTACTTTTTTTATTGTTCCAGGAGACTAACATTCCCTCTGGAGTAATCCATCAGAACCATATATTCCTTTTATTTAATTGGGTCACTAAAAAGCGGTAGTCTTTCCATTGTTCGTGGACCTTCCTAGGGATTTGTTTCAGAGTAATAATTTCCTTTGTACGTCATCGGTCCTCTCTTGTGATCTTGTATATCATATCTCTCACTTTCTTGTGAGTGAATCTTATGTGGACTTCCCTGGGGAGTTTATGGCATCTAGCATAACTCGTATAGACCCTGTACACACTGTCCAATTTGTTTATAATCTCTCGCTTGTCCCTTTGCAGTGCATCTGCAATTAAGCCTGCCATCAGTATCTCTAGATCCTCTTCTTTTGTGTCCATGACGTTTTGACGTTTTTAACCTCAGAAAGAAGGAAGCCTGATCCATCTCCAAATGTACCAAAGATTCTCCTAATTCCTTATTCATCCCAGACATTTTCCGATTTACCGTTTCTAGATCTTTCTCAGTTTGCTCTGTTCTATTTTCAATAGTTTTTATTCTCTTTTCATTCTTCTTGGACACACAAGGAATTTGTCTTGGTGCATATGCTCTCAGTGTACATAAAAAAAAAAAGATACAGTCGTCAAGAATCATAAGGTACAGTACTTAATGATAGTCATAGGAACAAATAAGCAATTAAATCATATTAGAGAACAGTCAATATAAATCGTAAGGATACCAGCAACAAAATTACAGTCATACAGTCATAAGTGGGAGAAGATGGGTGATGGAAATGATGAGAAGATTAATAGTAGTGCAGATTTAGTAAATAGTTTGACAGTGTTAAGGGAATTATTTGTTTAGCAGAGTGATGGCATTCAGGAAAAAACTGTTCTTGGGTCTAGTTGTTCTGGTGTGCAGTGCTCTATAGCGTTGTTTTGAGGGTAGGAGTTGAAACAGTTTATGTCCAGGATGCGAGGGGTCTGTAAATATTTTCACAGCCCTCTTTTTGACTCGTGCAGTATACAGGTCCTCAATGGAAGGTAGGTTGCTAGTAATTGTTTTTTCTGCAGTTCTAATTGTCCTCTGAAGTCTGTATCTGTCTTATTGGGTTGCAGAACCAAACCAGACAGTTATAGAGGTGCAGATGACAGACTCAATAATTCCTCTGTAGAACTGTATCAGCAGCTCCTTGGGCAGTTTGAGTTTCCTGAGTTGGTGCAGAAAGAACATTCTCTGTTGTGCTTTTTTGATGATGTTTTTGATGTTAGGTGTCCATTTTAGATCTTGCGATATGGTAGAACCTAGAAATTTGAAGGTCTCTACTGTTGATACTGTGTTGTCTAGTCTTGTAAGAGGTGGAGGTATGGAAGAGTTTCTCCTAAAGTCCACCACCATTTCTATGGTTTTGAGTGTGTTCAGTTCCAGATTATTCCAATCGCACCACGAGGCTAGTTGTTTAACCTCCCAATTGTATGCGGATTCATCATTGTCTCAAATGAGACCAATCACTGTTGTGTCATCTGCAAACTCCAGTAGTTTAACAGATGGATCGTTAGAGATGCAGTCATTGGTATATAGAGAGAAGAGAAGTGGAGAGAACACACAGCCTTGTGGGGCCCCTGTGCTAATTGTACAGATATCTGATGTGATTCTGCTTAGCTTCACCTGCTGCTTCCTGTTTGTTAGGAAGCTTATGATCCACTTACAAGTGTGTTCAGGTACCTGTAGCTGGTTTAGCTTAGTTAGAAGTGTGTCTGGAATGATGGTATTGAATGCTGAACTAAAGTCTACAAAGAGGACCCTTGCGTAGGTCTTTGGAGATTCAAGATGTTGTAGGATGTAGTGCAGAGCCATATTAACAGCATCATCTGTTGATCTATTTGCTCAGTATGCAAATTGCAAGGGGTCTAACAGCGGATCTGTGATGGTTTTCAAGTGGGACAGCACTAGCCTTTCAAAGGTTTTCATGACTACAGATGTTAGAGCAACTGGTCTGTAGTCATTCAGTTCCTTGATAGTGAGCTTCTTCCGCACTGGGATGATAGTAGAGCGTTTGAAGCAAGAAGGAACATAGCACATCTCTTGCTCTGTTGGGCAACAGGGGGTTAATGACTGAGGCAATCAGGAACTCGCGTCGTAAGTCTGAGGACTTAACATCTCTAGCAATACAGCTAGCTAGATTGTATTCAACTCAATACAATAATAACTGA